AAAGACTCAAAACAAACGTGTGTTCAGCGCTTCTCTAAAAGATGTCGCTGAGTTCGGGAAGGATAGTCATGCACTTCTTTTAAACGCCAGTAAAAACTGTTTCACCTAGCTAAAAATGTGAAATACTATTACATATTTCATTTGTATATGAATAAAATTATTTAGAACTATATGTCCAAATGAGATGAAATTTTCAGGGGTTGTAGTCCTTTTATTAGGATGAAATTCAGTGAAATTTTCAGCTTTCTATCCTGTAATATCACTCATGTGTAACCAAAAAATCAGCTTGCCTACATATTACTAGATGTATGTAAATCAGCTTTTATGTAGGGTTTGTTACATGTTAGGTATAACATAGCACCCACTGTAATTTTTTTTATAAAATAAAGAAGTTACAGGGGTGGTACCTACTTTATAACTTGAGGGAATTTATTGGAATTTGAATGAAATAGGTAAGCAAGAATCTAAACTAGATAGTTGAAAAGTTATTTTCAAAATTTAAAACTTCATTAGTAGGCCAGTCAAAATAGGGGGTTGGGGTAGAAAAAATTAGTAACAAAGTGATCTCTGCGGAAATGAGTAGTCAATAGGGTCCTTATTAATCCCACAAAAATCGCACTTTGTCGCATTGGTGGAACTTGGAAAAAAATGGCCGCCATCTTGATTTTTTTGTAATTTATTGAATATTTCGTAAAGTATGCATTATATCAAAAAAACTCAAGAGGACTTTTTTTTGTGGAGAATCAAAAGTTACCTATAATGGGAGAAATTTAAAGACCATCAGCTGCAAACGAAAAAGTTATTGACATTTATTTCATTTGGCAACATGGAATTTTTCAAAACATTTGAAAAAAACTCAAATAAGTATTATTTTTTTTTTGGTGCAGAATTAAAAAGTAAATTTAATAGAAAAAAAATTCAATAAATTTAATGATCTAAATATTTTTGTTGAGAGGAAGCAAAAACGCATATGACCAGAAAAACATTTGGGCAGGAAACTACCCAGACGCAGACAGCACACAAAGTCTTAAAGACGTCTTTTTTAAGTCTGCATTCTGCATTACATCTGACCGTCTGAAGACCAAAAAAAAAAACGTCTAACAACTTCCATAATCAGATGTCCTAAATTCACATCTCAAGGATAACTGAACTGAGCCACTCTATTTCATTCAGCCAGGCCTAGAAGTGAATAATGGTTCATATATTGGAAAGAGATTTAAAGACTTCTTTTAAAAATTTCGTTAGAGACGAAGAATGTCTTAGTTCTAAAGGCGTCTTTATAGGCAGACTTCTGAAAGGCGTTGGGTTTTGTAACATACGTCGTCTTTAAGATGTCTTTAAGACTTCCCACAGAATTCGTTTTTCATTTAATTTTAGAAGTTACTTGAAACCATTTAGAATCCTACAGAACACTTTAGAACTTCAATAATAAGCCTTTTCGAAAGTTCAAAACACTTAAAATTCAACTCATAATTTCCAACAGCATTGTGTAGGGCTTCAGAACATTTTGAAAACTTCAGAACCATTATTAAAATGGAGTATTTTCGAACAATTTAGAAACTTCAGAGATATTTTAGAACAATAACGATTCAATTTAGAACTGGAAACCTTTTAGAATGCTTTTAAACCAATTCAACTTCACTTTGGAACTTCAATAGGGCTCCACTGGCGTAGCCAGGGGGAGGCAAGGGGGCATTTGCCCCCCCCAAGACCCTTAAATTTTATGAATATTTCTTCAAAATTAAGATAAACAGTCCCAAAAATAGCGTAAAGAAACCTGAAAAAGGGGCGTGGCACCCAAAAATTTCGCGCCTGCGGCGCTTTGCCTCCGGCAGCGGTCGCGGTAGGGCCGCAAAAGACGCTTCCTGCAAATTTGCCCCCCCCAAGACAAAATCCTGGCTACGCCACTGTAGGGCTCTAAAATACTTAAAAATCTGTCAATCTGTCAAATAAACATTTTGAAACTTAACATGGATCCCTCGAAGAAGCGTACTTCCCAATTTAGAAATTACCGAAAAACTTCTAGAATGCTTCAGAACCCAGTCAACTTGGAACACATTAGACAAACCTCAGAATTGTACCAGAGAGCCTAATAAATAATAATAATAAAAATAAAATGAGTAATGAATAATAATGAAATATTAACCAGAAAATGTTCCTCTTTCAATTCAAATTCTTGAATTTTTATAATTTTTTCTATTGCAGGCTCTTGATTTTTCCTTACTTCTTTATCCTAAATTCTTAATTTTCTGTTGGCTTAGATTTTTTTTTCCATGTTCTTGAATTCTCATTATTCCTGTATTTTAGAATTTCAGGCTCTTGACTTGTTTTTCAATTTTCAGTCTTGTCTCTTCAAATAGTTTTCTACCAAAATGAATTTTTCGTATGTTTCCGTTTAAAGAAATCAATAATTTAAGACCCTAGCGTTTAGAATAGACAAAAATTGAAAGTTATACTTAAAATGAGTAATAATAATGAAATATCAGTTCTGAAGACGTCTTTAGGCAGACGTCTGAAAGACGTTGGGTTTTGTAACACGACGTTTTTAAGATGTCTTTAAGACGCCTTGAAGACGTAAGCCGACGTCTGAAAGACGTCCTGAATGTCGTTTGTGGACATCTTAGGGACGTCCTTAAGATGTCTGTGTACTGTCTGGATAGACACTAAGTAATTCAAATAAATTAAATTCCATACTTTAAGGTTTATAAAAAAATCACTAAACCTTCACAGTAGTGAAAGAGAAAGACTGGAAACTTGAGAACATGCTTTAAACCTTTGACACCAAACTTTTCGATAATTACTGTTGTTTTTTTTTATCTCAATATAGGTATCTTTAATCCTCTACTAACAGGCATTCTTAAGTTTTATTAGAAAAATCCATACATTTCGCGATTTTACCTAAAGTTCAAAAATTTCCAGATTTTTAAATAAATTAATTCCCAATAACTTTTTTGTTTTCCAGCTTATAGTGTTGAAATTTCTTTTATTATAAGTAACTTTTTATTCTCCACAAAAAAGCACTCGTGAGTTTTTTTGATATAATGCATACTTCACGAAATATTCAATAAATCCGAAAAAAATCAAGATGGCGGCCATTTTTTTTCAAGTTCCACTTATGCGACAAAGTGCGATTTTTGAGGGATTAATTAGGACCCTATCGACTACTCATTTTCGCAGAGATCACTTTGTTACTAATTTTTTCTACCTTACCTGCATAAACCTGCCTAGATTGACTATACTATAGGTAGAAGGTTTAGCCCTCAATAAAACAGTTGATAAAATAAAAATACTTATAAAGGGAAAAAATACAATCTATAAATTTTCATATACACCCTAAAGTTCTGTTCACACAGAAATAACAAACCAGTCAGTGCATTTTGGATTGGTGCAAATCGCCAACAACCTGTTTTCAACCAATGAAATTCAGTTTGGCTGGTTTGGGATTTTAGTGAGCCTTAAGAAAACACCTCAAGAAACAATTGTGTATCTCTTCTTTAAACTGCAGACTAGGGCTGAGACTCTTTAACTGATAGAGATTGTTATTTTCTTCGTTATGACACTTGCTATCTTTTTCTTTCACATCAAAATCAATAGAGAAAAGATGACAATAATAGAGATACAGGTATTAGAGGATTTAAGCTTATTTAAAATGATTTTAGGTGATGAACAAAGATTTTGTGGGGGGTTTATGGAGATTTATTTAAACTGATTAATGATACAGTTTCTCACAGTTTCCTTGTCAATATATTTCATGTTTTACCTCGGGACAAGTCTGTTGTATTGTTGTTGTTATGTAATGACCAATTAGCATTTTTGACCTTTGAGAAGCTCAGAAGTTGAAATTAAGATACATAAAAATTCTATTCCAGACCTTCTTGTTAAATCGATGAAATTTCAATTTTTTTTCTGTAGAGATTTTGTATCCTAATGCTAATGGTCAATTAACATCCCTCAATTATTCTCAGATTTGAAGCCGAAATCTATGAAAAAAGGCACTCAGAAAAATTGAAAAATTGATATATCACCCCAAATTGCTTAACATGATTTTATCTCAGGAACTATAGGGGCAAATGCGCTGAAATTCAGGGATTGAAGCCTTTTAATAGAATAAGAATCGCTGAAAATTTCAGCATTCTATCTATAATAGAAAAAAAGTTATGACCTTTCAAAGTTTTCCAAAATCTAAATCATAAGGTAGGTACTTTCCTACTTTCTTACTAAAACGATGAAATTTCAAATTTTTTTTTGTCGAGACTTTGTATCCTAATGGTCAATCAACATACCCCAAACTCCATACACTAAATTATTTTCAGATTTGAAGCCAAAATCTATGAAAAAAGGCACCCCAAACTGCTTAACATGATTTTATCTCAGGAACTATAAGTCCAAATGAGTTGAATTTTTCAGGGATTGAAGTCCTCTATTGGAATAAGAATCGCTGAAAATTTCAGCTTTCTATCTATAATAGAAAAAAAGTTATGACTTTCAAAATTTTCCAATATCTACTAAAACGATGAAATTTCAATTTCAATTTTTTTTTTGTTGAGATTTTATATCCTAATGGCCATTTGATATTCACCGAACTCCATACACCAAGTTATTCCCAGATTTGAAGCCGAAACCTATGAAAAAAGGCATTCAGAAAAATTGAAAAATCACCCCAAATTCCTTAGTCTGACAGAAACTATAGTAGTTTTTTTGTGTTGTCCCCTTAAAGGGCCCCATACACTACGATGAAACACGACGGTTTTCATCGCCGCGATGAAACACGTCGTTCCAAAACCGAAGTGTATGGTAGAAAACCGTCATGTTTCATCTTTCATTGTCGGTTTAAAATTCAGTCTGAGCTTGATTTTTGGCACGACGGTTCAATATTTCATTCCAAAACCGTTGTATGTGGGTCCAACTGCCAAAAAATCGCATTTGCTCAAAAATATGTAGCTTTTTTCCTAACACGTGCGCAAAGTAGTAGGAACTTTTCGGAACACCAAACGAAAATTATCGCATTCCTTAATCTAAATTTTTATTAAAATCGCCTTACACAATTACAACTATTATAATATCTAATTTAATTTTAAAATTAATCACAAGACTACATTGTTTTTTTTTTTTTTTGAGAATGTTTCCTATTTCGAAGTGGCTTTAAATGTAGTTTTTTTCACATTAAATTCAACTTGTATAAATAATTACACCCTCACTAAAGGTAATTTTTTCAAATTAAACTCAACTTCTATAAATAATAACACCCTTAGTGATTTTGACTTGACAAAAAAAATGTATAAAGAAAACAAAACAAAACATCAATTAAGCAATTAGCTTAAGAAAAAAATAGTAAAATAAATAAATTCCCCAGAATTAATTTTTGTTTGTTTTAACAAACTCAACAAAAGCGGCACGTATCTCTTCGTCCATTTCTTCTTCTGGGTTACACAAACCGTCTGGATCTTCATTATCAAAAATATAATCGTCTTGGCCCATGTTGGCCGCCAAAAACTCTTGTTCCTCATTGGTTAACGTCGCCCCGTCCACCTCGTACAAAATTTCGTTGACTATTTCCTCGTAATCTTGATCGAATGGTGACGGCCTAAAGCGTTCCAATATTAATAATAATTCGATTAAAACAATAACAATCTTACTCTGAATGAGCACTTTCCGGTTCCCTGCCCCAATTGGATTCTCTTAAATTAATCACAGAGTTTAGCACTATCAAAGCCGAGCCTGATAAGGAGTTTGTATAATCTCTCAGGTGGCAAAATAGCTCATCCAATGCTAATTTATGATTATCTTCCAAAGAAAAACCTGTCAACTATAAAACAATATTAGATTCATTATTAATAAAACACACAAATAAGTACCTTTAATGCTTGACAAACGCACTTGATATTATCAGTCCCACCAGTACTGAGTAATTTTTTCAAAGCTTCAATGAGTAAAGAGCCGTACAAACTGTCGTGGGGCAGCTGAGTGTAGAGCTCGGCGATAAATAAAGCCACGTTTTGCTGATTAGGATTGTCCTGCAATTCTTTGTTGCACTTCAAGTGCAAGTCCGCCCTGAATTCGGCGGATTTTTGTTCGATCACCCAACACAGTCTAGCGCCGTTGTAGCGGAAGCTCGGTGCATTGATTGCCTGTAAATTTTCGACTATGTTCAATTCGAACTTGAAGCTTTAAGATGAGAAAGAAGAGTTGAAAATGAAATAATAATTATTTGTATGAGATTTTATGAACAAAGTTGTTTCTGAAGTAAAAATAGATTTGGGTGATGACGTTTCTACACAATATTACAAAGAACTTAACTCTACAAGATGCAGATCTTAATTATTTTGCTATAGCCAAAGAGAAAGCTTCAGTCAAGCTTAAAAAAAAGACTTATTGTAGATGTAAATGTTGTTTCCATGAAATTTGATAGGTAATTGCAATTGCAAAAAATCCAGATTACTGAAAATTGATGTGCAGTTTTTAAACTGCGTCAAGTTAGCCCTTCCACATTCGAATTTTCTAAAAAAAATTGCAACCACTTACTGTGCTCGAAGTGTGCTTTACTGTGCCGATGATATTTTGAACTGTGCCGTTTCGATAACAATGTTATAGGAAAAAATAGATGAGGGGCTAACTTGACGCTCAGTCTAGTGATGTAAAATGCTCGAGCAAGTATTTTAGGAGAACGTTCTCCGAGCAGGATCGAGAATTAACGAGCATAAACGAGCAGGACCCGAGAATTTATGCTTTTCATCAGAAGCTGAATAAAACAAAACATTTTTCTAAATAAATTCTGATTTTTCTCAAATTTCCCGAAATTCCCAAATTTCTTGTGAAAGTTCTGAAAATTCTTCATAAATGTGCTGAAAATTCTCAAACTTCTTAGGAAAATATAATACATATTTAGAACCGATACTTTTGCTCTCGATTAACAAATTTGATACGTTGTCAAAGTTTTGCATGGGCCAAGGTCTATAAGTATGATGTGGTTAGAGCACATTCTAACCCCTGATTATTTTTAACTGTCAAATGAGAGCAAAAGTACCAGCATTTAACCTCATAATTTGTGTCATGTTTGACAACAATAATAATTCTAATTTGGGGTTTTCTGGGAAACTTCAGCATACAATTTAGGAGACTTTTTTTTTGATAATAAAATAAAATAGTGATTTTAGTTTGAGTATATTCCAGTACAACGCTACCTTTGCTTACAAAAAAATAGCTATTGCTGCTAAGTTGCTTTCTGGTTCTCGTGCTCAATATTCGATATATCTCCGCCTTCAACAGCTCGTGCTTGAGAACGTGCTGAATATTCTCTATCATGCTCAATGTGCTCCGAAGGTAATATTCAGCACCAACCTTTTTTTCGTGCGCGAACGTTCGCGAATGTTCTCGAAAGCACAATCAGAACGTTCCCTTGTTCACATCACTAGCTCAGCCCCCCCAAAATTTTGGAAAACCGATTAAACAGAATTGAATTCTTATTCAATCCACAGTGTGCTGAACTGTGCTGTATCAGGCTTTTCTCAAAATTTCCATATTCAGTCATTTTCCGACAAAATCCTACTGGGGAGGTAATTTGAGGCTCAGCCCCCCAAAAATTTCGAAAATCAGTTTGAACAAAATTGTATTCTTATCCAATCTGGAGTGTACTGAACTCTGCTGTATCAGGTTTTCTTGAAATTTACATACTTATTCGGTTATTTTCCGACAAAATCCTACTAGCTAACTTGACGTTGAGCTCTGAGAATTTACATACATACCATCCATTAGGTTTATATCGGGAAATGGCCAAACATGGAAACTTGGAATAACCTGATCAGGCATAATTCAGCTCACTTCAGATTTAATAAGAATAAGAGTCTGTTTTTCTTTGATCTGATTTCTAAAATTTGGCATCAACTTAGCCCTCTCTTAGTTTTTTTGTCGGAAAATGACCGAATATGGAAATTTCGAGAAAAACCTGGTACAGCACAGTTCAGCACACTTCAGATTGGATGAGAATTCAATTTTGTGCAAACTGATTTTCGAAATTTTGAGGGGGCTGAGCGTCAAGTTAGCCCCCCAGTAGGATTTTGTCGGAAAATGACCGAATATGGAAATTTTTAGAAAAACTTGATACAGCACAGTTCAGCACACTTCAGATTGGATGAGAATTCAATTTTGTGCAAACTGATTTTCGAAATTTTGAGGGGGCTGAGCGTCAAGTTAGCCCCCCAGTAGGATTTTGTCGGAAAATGACCGAATATGGAAATTTTTAGAAAAACTTGATACAGCACAGTTCAGCACACTTCAGATTGGATGAGAATTCAATTTTGTGCAAACTGATTTTCGAAATTTTGAGGAGGCTGAGCGTCAAGTTAGCCCCCCAGTAGGATTTTGTCGGAAAATGACCGAATATGGAAATTTTCAGAAAAACTTGATACAGCACAGTTCAGCACACTTCAGATTGGATAAGAATTCAATTTTGTGCAAACTGATTTTCGAAATTTTGAGGGGGCTGAGCGTCAAGTTAGCCCCCCAGTAGGATTTTGTCGGAAAATGACCGAATATGGAAATTTTTAGAAAAACTTGATACAGCACACTTCAGATTGGATAAGAATTCAATTTTGCCTAATCTGATTTCCAAAATTTTGGGGGGCTGAGCGTCAAGTTAGCCCCCCAGTAGGATTTTGTCGGAAAATGACCGAATATGGAAATTTTCAGAAAAACCTGATACAGCACAGTTCAGCAGACTTCCAATTGGATCCTTTTTGGTTTTATCTGATTTCCAAAATTTTGGGGGGGCTGAGCGTCAAGTTAGCTCCCCAGTGGGATTTTGTCGGAAAATGACCGAATATGGAAATTTCGAGAAAAACCTGGTACAGCACAGTTCAGCACACTTCAGATTGGATGAGAATTCAATTTTGTGCAAACTGATTTTCGAAATTTTGAGGGGGCTGAGCGTCAAGTTAGCCCCCCAGTAGGATTTTGTCGGAAAATGACCGAATATGGAAATTTTCAGAAAAACTTGATACAGCACAGTTCAGCACACTTCAGATTGGATAAGAATTCAATTTTGCCTAATCTGATTTCCAAAATTTTGGGGGGCTGAGCGTCAAGTTAGCCCCTCATCTATTTTTTCCTATAACATTGTTATCGAAACGGCACAGTTCAAAATATCATCGGCACAGTAAAGCACACTTCGAGCACAGTAAGTGGTTGCAATTTTTTTAGAAAATTCGAATGTGGGGGGGCTAACTTGACGGAGCCCAGTTTTTATGGGAAACAGTAGGGAAATCAATGAGAATCACATGAAGAAGAGGGCAAATTTTTTTTAAAAGGTACGCCTTTGGATTCTTATTTCAAAATCTAATCTTTAATCTTCAATATCTTGACTTCTGTGAGAGATATTGAATCAAAATTTCCAGGAATTGTAGCTTCGATGTAGCTCTGAAGAACCTGTATTGAAAAATATTTTCAGGTTTAAGTATGGTTTTTGAGAATATTGAGTTTGAAGTTTTTGACTTAAATTCAACTTTGGGGCTCAATTTCTCAATTAAATTGGTCATTTGGGAATGACGTTAGGGTTTTTTTCGACTAATTTAGACCCGCTCTTTCGATTAGAATAGTCAAAATTCACAAAATATAGAAAATAAAAATTTGAATATTTAAAAAAAAAAAACAACTTCTAATGATCACAGTAACTTTAAAGATTTATGAATTGAAGTTTCCTCTCTGTGGAAAAATTAATTTGAAGTTGATTTGAAGCTCCAAACTAACTTTAGAAGTTTTTTCTTAGGTTAATGCATGCAAAATTGATTAAAGTCTACAACAATCACTTGTGCAAAAGACTTCCAATGCTCACAGTGACTTGAAACTTTCAGGATTTATGAATTGAAGTTTCCTCTTTGTGGAAAAGTTAATTTGAAATCGATTTGAAGAAGCTTGTTCTTACATTAATGCATGCAAAAACGATTAAAATCTGCAAAAATCACTTGTGCAAAATACTTCCAATGCACATAGTGACTTGAAACTTTCAGGATTTATGAACTGAAGTTTCCTTTTCGTGGAAAATCCATACACTAAATTATTCTCAGATTTGAAGCTGAAGTCTATGAAAAAAGGTACTCAGAAAAATTGGGAAATTGATAAATCACCCCAAATTGCTTACCACGATTTTATCTCAGGAACTATACTTAAGTGCAAATGAGCTGAAATTTTCAGGGATTGTAGTCCCTTGATTGGGATAAAATTCAGTGAAAGTTTCAGCTTTCCATCTATAATAGGAAAAAAGTTATGACCTTTCAAAGTTTTCCAAAATCTAAATCATAGGGTAAGTATTATTCTCAGATTTGAAGCCAAAATCTATGAAAAAAGGCACTCAGAAAAATTGAAAAATTGATAAATCACCCCAAATTGCTTACCACGATTTTATCTAAGGAACTATAAGTGCAACTGGGGTGAAATTTTCAGGGATTGTAGTTTCTTGAATGGGATAAAATTCAGTGAAAGTTTCAGCTTTCTATCTATAATAGAAAAAAAGTTATGAGCTTTCAAAGTTTTCGAAAATCTAAATCATAAGGTAGGTACTTACTAAAACGATGAAATTTCAAATTTTTTATTGTCGAGATTTTGTATCTCAATGGTCAATCAACATACCCCAAACTCCATACACTAAATTATTCTCAGATTTGAAGCCGAAATCTATGAAAAAAGGCACTCAGAAAAATTGAAAAATTGATAAATCACCCCAAATTGCTTAACACGATTTTATCTCAGGAACTATAAGTGCAAATGAGCTGAAAAAAATACTTACTTCTAATAATTACAGTATCACAGTACCTTGAAACTTTAAGGATTTATGAATTGAAGTTTCCTCTGTGTGGAAAAGTTAATTTAAAATTGATTTGAATCTCCAAACTAGCTTTGGAAGCTTGTTCTTATATTAATGCATGCAAAAATGATTAAAATCTGCAAAAATCACTTGTGCAAAATACTGCTAAAGATCATAGTGACTTAAAATTTCCAGGATTTATGAACTGAAATTTTCTCTTTGTGGAAAAGTTAATTTGTAGTTGATTTTAAGCGCCAAACTTAATTTGAAGCTTTTTCTCGAGCTTTTTCTTATGCACGCAAAAATGATTAAGATCTGCAAAAATCACTTCTGCAAAATACTTCTAATGATCACACTGACTTGAAACTTTCAGGATTTATGAACTGAAGTTTCCCCTTTGTGGAGTTTTTCTTAGGTTAATAATGCATACAAAAATGATTAAAATCTGCAAAAATCACTTGTGCAAAATACTGCTAAAGATCACAGTGACTTAAAATTTCCAGGATTTATGAACTGAAATTTTCTCTTTGTGGAAAAGTTAATTTGTAGTTGATTTTAAGCGCCAAACCTAATTTGAAGTTTTTTCTCGAGCTTTTTCTTATGCACGCAAAAATGATTAAGATCTGCAAAAATCACTTCTGCAAAATACTTCTAATGATCACACTGACTTGAAACTTTCAGGATTTATGAACTGAAGTTTCCCCTTTGTGGAGTTTTTCTTAGGTTAATAATGCATGCAAAAATGATTAAAATCTGCAAAAAACACTTGTGCAAAATACTTCTAATGATCACAGTGACTTGAAACTTCAAGGATTTATAAATCGAAATTTTCTCTTTGTGGAAAAGTTAATTTGAATTTGATTTGATTAATTCATGTAAAAATGATTAAAATCTGAAAAAAAGGAAACAAAAATTCAAGAGCCTGCCCAGGGACTCCATGTATGGTAGAATTCTACATATCAACAGGATTCTATAGACTCGGCACACTGTGCGGCATGTGATATGTTTCGATATGTCGAATTCTACATGGCACGGAGTCCCACTACTGGAATAGAAAAAAATTGTGATGTGATACTGAGAGAGAAATGAAGAGGGGAAATTGATGCAAAAAAAGAGCTTAAAAATTATTAATTATTCTTCAAATACAATTTTTTTTTTACCTGGCTAACTAAAAGCTTGACAATTTCCGAAATAGCCATAATATCGTCCAAGTACGGGCAAATAGTTTCCAAAATAACCATCATGAGATCGTCGAATTGGCCCGGATACTTGATCAACGAATCAATTAGCTGTTTGAGGCGCACCATGTCAGTGGAAGAGCTTTGCCCGTTAATCACTTGATTCGGCGGATGGTATTGAGAGCTGCCTTGCTGCAAATCAAATAAAAAGAATCAAGAATTTGTTTGTTTTCGAATTATTTTCACCTTGTTGTGTTCCATTTGCTGACATTTTGTTGACACAATTAATTGACAATAATTATTGATACAATACAAACCTCAGAATGTGAAGTAGGGTTTTTATGAATCAGCAATCTACTCTGAGCGCTGCTACGTTTGGGTAAATCGTCTACAGTGATATTAACATTCTGAAACTGGTGCTCAAGACCAGTAATTTGTCTCGGTACAAACTCTGGAGCCTCGGCTCTAAGAACTGTATTTTTACTAGTTGCGGCCTCTTGCACGAGCTTCATTTTAGGCTCCCTGAGCCGCTTTTGTACCGAGGAGCCCGAGGGGTTCCACAGAGGGGCCGGTTTCGGTTTATCTCCCTCGTTCATTTTTCATGTAAATAAATACAAACAAAAATAAATCACTAAACACAACTTGGCAGTCGAGTAAAGGCAGGTCACACGCAAACAAGGAATTGTGCGCAAAATCCAAACCCAAACACAAAAGGGCTTTTTCAAAAGGTCAACAAAAGGGGAGAAGGAAATAAATAAATCAAACCAAAATTGAGGTTAGGTTGACTGATGACTTTTGTTTGATACAGTGTTGCCAGTTGTCAATTACAAATAATAAATTATGAAATACAGCAATATGGACAAACGAAAAATATAAATGACAATCAAATCATATAAACAATTATAATTAATTGCAATAATTCTTCGAATAATAATAAGTTTTTACAATTATTTTAAAATTTTCCCTTTTGCCTTTTAATTAATGTCAATTGTCACTTGTCATTTCTGACGTTGAATGGCGTGTCCTCCTAAGCAAGCCCACAGAAAAAAGAAATCCATCGAAAAGTTTCGTTTATTTGTGTGAAATTTTCGTATTTTCCAAAGGATCAAGACGTTTTAGTGCATCGCTAATTGTTGCCAGTTATCCCGGCTTCATTTCAAACTAATTTTCTTTGCAGATTTGCCCCAGTTCGAAAGGGTTTTCCCAGGCAATTTTCGTTTTCCAGTTTAGGTGAGTGAAATCAATATGGCGGGGCATTTTACATGGCAAACGGTCTCTGAGACTGAGAAAAGGACTAGAAATTTTATGTGATATTTTGCGTTTTTATGAGTTAATTTGAAGGTTTTCTTATTGGGAAATTGACCGTTTGCCATTGAAAAAGTGGAGCCTCCATAGGCCCCTAAAGCCAGAGCTGTAATTTAATTTAAAAAAACCATTCATTTGGCCTCAAGCATTATTTTTGTTTGTCCACAATTTTCATTTCAATTGGTTGATTTATTTATTAAAAAACCATATTTTACATATTAGAAAATGCCTTTATAACATAACAACAACTTATGAAGAAATTTGTGGGGGGTGAAAAATATTTTTTCAGCAAATTTTTTTATTGTATAGGTATTATGAATTCAAGCTGTAACAGGATGAAATTCTCCAAATTTAGGCCAAGCTTATTCATCTTCAGATAAACTCACTGGTAGGTAACTCCTAAAAGATAAATTTACCAATCTATAATCTTATTGGTTGACAAATAAGTGGCTGACGAATAGGATTATAGATTGCGTTTTTGTTTTATCTGTCAGATTGCATTACCATTTCTAGGGCCGATTTATTCACCTTCTGATAAACTATCAGGTATGTAATCTAATGTATGGATGTTATTTTAGAACCTCTACTTTTCATTTTATACCTACAGGGTGTCCTTAGATAAACTGACACACTTCGCAGGTAAATATCTCTAAAAGATGTGTTTTTTTCTGTATATTTCGTCATTGTCAGAAAGCCTGATTTTTCTATTTTACAAAAATTTATACTTACTTATTTTTTAAAAAAATATCTTGAAATTGCATTTTGTTGTCAAGGTTTTAATTAGGTACAAGTATTAGACACAAATTATCTACCAATTTTTTTTTGCATCTAGGTGAGAAAAAATTCATAATTCCTTTTCTGAGCCCGAGATTCATTTGTGGATTATTCTGTTTGATAAAAAGACCCCACCTAATAAATCCTGAAAGTTTGAAGCCCCTCTGATTGCTTAAAGTATTTCTCAGAAGCTTCCAAAGGAGATTTAATAGAAATTTCACATGATTTTATTGCATTTAAGTGAGAAAAAATTATAATTCCTTTTCTGAGCCTGAGATTCATTCGTGGATTGTTCTGTTTGATAAAAAAAAACCCACGCACCAAATCCTGAAAGTTTGAGGTCCCTCTGATTGCTTGAAGTATTTTTCAGAAACTTCCAAAGATAATTTATCAGAAATTTCACATAATTTTTCTGCATTTAAGTGAGAAAAAATTCAGAACTCCTTTTCTGAGCCTGGGATTCATTCATGGATTGTTTTCTTTGATAAAAAAGACCTTACTCAATAAATCCTGAAAGTTTGTGTACAGGGTGTTTTAAATTCGAGCCACATCATTGGGATCTTGGAAACGGTGAGAGATACAGGGTTGGTTAAATTGGGGCAATGTTGCGTAGTTCGATGCTTAACAAAATGCCGCTTTGATGTTTAGGATATTCCGAATACTTACGGAGATATCTGGAAAAAACCGAAATTTTGCAGAATTGTTTTTATTTTTTCCTGACTTTATTTGAAGTGATATTTCAAAAAAAATACCACTTCATCATAGCCACTTTTTTTCCCTACTAGATGTTACCATCAAATTTATAATCTGATGTTTCGTCTTTAAAACACCATCATCAACTTTATTTTTTTAAATATGACCCTGGATTTTTTATTTCGGATTTTAGGAGCCTCTGATGTCTCAAAACCTATGACGCATCGCATTTATTCAAAAAAATGTTTTTTTTTTATTTTTTAGTTATTTTCTACCAAAATTCTCTTCTCTGTCTCTCTCTAACACATTAAGTTCTTATGAGAAGTGCCAATAATATTAATTTTTTGAATAAGTGCAATAAATAGGTCATTGGTTTTGGGACATCAGAAGCTTATAAAATCTAAAATAAAAAATAAGAGTCCATAATTAGGAAAATTAAGTTAAGTTGATGATGGTGGCCCAAAGACGAAACGTCAGATTTTAAATTTGATGCTAGCATCCTGTAGGGGAAAAAAAGTGACTATGATGAAGTGACATTTTCTTTTGAAAATCTCTTCAAATAAAGTCAAGAAAAAATAAAAACAATTTTGCAAAATTTCGGTTTTTTCCGGATATCTCTGGTAGTATTTGGAGTATCCTGAATATCAAAGCGGCATTCTGTTAAGCATCAAATTACGCAACTTTGCCCCAATTTAACCATCCCTGTATATCTCACCGTTTCCGGGATCCCAATGTTGTGGCTCGAATTTGAAACACCCTGTACATATATTTAGTGATGTAAAATGCTCGAGCAAGTAGTTTAGGAGAACGTTCTCCGAGCAGGATCGAGAATTAACGAGAATAAACGAGCAAAAACGAGCAGGACCCGAGAATTTATGCTTTTTATCAGACGCTGAATAAAACAAAACATTTTTCTAAATAAATTCTGATTTTTCTCAAATTTCCCGAAATTCCCAAATTTCTCGTGGAAGTTCTGAATATTCTGAAAATTCTTCATAAATGTGCTGAAAATTCTCAAACTTCTTGGGAAAATATAATACATATATCCTATTCACAATCTGTAGTCCAAAGGTACAGGTAAATTTATCACCTTTCCCTATCAAATAGCATTGAAAGGTGATAAATTTTACATGTACCTTTGGACTACAGATTGTGAATAGATAATAATTAATCTCATATTTTGTGAATTGTGTCTTGTGTCATGTTTGACAACAATAATTATTCTAATTTGGGTTTTTTTTCCAGTAGAACGCTACCTTTGCTTACAAAAAAAATAACTATTGCTGCTAAGTTGCTTCCTGGTTCTCAGGCTCAATATTTGATATATCTCCGCCTTCAACAGCTTCCATAAATATATCTCTACTCTATGGCGTCATGTGATTTTATTGGTTAGGATCGTGCTTGAGGACGTGCTAAATATTCTCTATCGTGCTCAATGTGCTCCGAAGGTAATATTCAGCACGAACCTTTTTTTCGTGCGCGAACGTTCGCGAATGTTCTCGAAAGCACAATCAGAACGTTCCCTTGTTCACATCACTACATATATTATGTATTGCTTCAAAACTTATAATTTCTCAACGCTAGTTGGGAGTTCTCTGTGATCATTGAGATTTTATTTTTTTGGTTAATATTATCAACGCTGTGTCTAGAATCCCGGTACCAGTAACACATTTTTTACCGGTAGTTTAGATGACGTCATCGATATGACGCACTTGTACCGGGATTTAAGTGAATCCTGGTGTTTTGATTTTGTTTTTATCAGCTGAATGGTATTTTAGGTTAGTTAATTAATGTTTTCGTCACTTTTTTGAAACAATTCAAACTATAAAAGTTAGTTCAGATTCGAAATACCTTATATAAATGATTTGCGTTCGGAAATGTCGAACAACTCATCCCAGATTAGAAGTAATCTGCATTCAGATGATAGTGAACTAGGGTTGTTATTTCCGAAAACCCCTGAGAATTTAAACAAATTTGAAATGATGTCACTTTATATACCTAGCAGTTTATAATAGAATTTAATATTTATTAATTTACTTCAAGCCAATATACATGTATGTAACTATACTGTTTAGGATGTAAATTAAAATTAATATCTCTCATTTTTTATTTATAAGTTTGCAATCAGAAAAATACTACATTTTGTGTATTTTAAACAAACTGGCACATTTTACATGTCAATGTCAAAGTCTCTTCAACTTCTTTATAACTTTTAAATGTTTGTCCTACATTAAAATTATTTTAAAAGTAATATCACGTTGATAAACTCACGAAAACACAAAACACTCCACTTTACGTTCACACATCAACAAAACAAGTTAAAAACATAAAATAAAAAAGTTGGTCTTTGATAAAACAAAAACCGCCAACGACTACATTTTTTACCGGGATTCTAGACACAGCGTATTATCAATTATAAAATTTTGTGAATCTAAAATTTCCCACCTGAAGTTTGAAATACCCTAAAATACCAGAAAGGTAGGTATTGTTCGTCGATTTTAATCTGATACTCGGACGGAATGTGAGCTGGTGGCTCCCTACATTAGAACGCCAATGGTTACCTGACGTCACACCTGTTTTTGCCATATGAAACACCCCCTCGCTCTTCATACCGCAAGTATCAGTTAAAAATCGACGAACAATAAGTTTCCTCTTAAACCTTAAATGACAAAATACTCTTGGAATATCCAAAAATGCTCCTAAAATATCTCAAAGTTTGTCCCAAAAATACCCATCAAAATACCTCAATATGTATCGGGTGATTGTCTATATTTTGCACCCACACCTATCTCACCTGTTTGAAGAGATACCCAGAAATGTCAAATGGGAAAGTTGTAGGTAATATCAGAAAGTTTTCAATGACGTTAGTTACAGGTTTACACGGTGTGTCACAAAAGTGTGGTGAAGCAAAGTTATACTTTTTTAACTGGAAACCCTGGTATATTATTGTCCCATTGGATTAGCCTTTCAACCCTGATTCCAAATATAGTAGGTTTTTAGGTT